TGCGTAGTTACGCATTAAAAGGATGAGAACTTTCTCTTTAACGTTTCTTATAAATAAGATACTACGTCCAGCCTAGTTTACGTATGTATGGTCACGTGCATTTGCGTAGTTACGCTTTAAAAGGATGAGAACTCACTCTTTAACGTTTCTTATAAATAAGATACTACGTCCAGTCTAGTTTACGTACATTTGATAGTATGTAGAAACGTAACTTGTAAATACTGTAATATATGCCAAATTTTACGTAAGCGTATTTACGTAATCGCATGTGAAGTACGTATCAGACTTTCTCCTTAGATTTGATATTTTCTTTTAGATTGTTATCAATTACGCCGTGATCGAGCAAGATGGTCAATGTCGAGGTTATAAATTGCCATTCTTATCGTAATCGTTATCACTAGGATCAATGTTTAGTGACGTTTTGTCTTAGCGAACTCCTTGAGCTAAGTAATAGTTGTTATTAATCCATCCTCTTCCTCTTCTTTATTCTTTTTTACCAAGTTCAAGTTTATTACTCGCTCAGAAAATAATATAATTTATTCACTACTGCATGCAGCTTGCATGGCTGCTCCAGGCGATTATTTGCATTATGCAGGAAAACAGTAATTTTAACTTAAGCAAAGTCAAATAGAATGTATGGACAACTAGATTTACAACGCATTTATTTGTGTAGAGTATAGAATATTTACTTTTTCTTCGTCTACTGCTCTTTAATGTCAGCTTATCTCATCCATTTTTCAATTTTTTTTTTCAATTTTCCTCGTTTCTCTTTCACTTCTCTGCGCATTTCAACGCTGTTTTCTTTCATCTTTTTCCGTTCATTTTTTGCTAGTTTTCTTTGTCTTTGATATGTTAATCATTTCAAGTCTTTTTATTYTGATTCAATAGTTTTATTCTGCTTAACTTAATTTGGTTACTTATCCCTTATTAACGTATTGCGTCGTCCTTTAAGTTCCATTATCGATATAAATCCGTTGTTAGTCGCGCGCTGTTTGGTCCAAAAGCGTGGGTTTATTTCACCTGTTAACGTACGATCYTGAAGAAATACATTTTTCTATATGATAAAAGCAACAAATGTTATATGCATGGATTCCCTGGGGTTTATCYGTGAAAGATTCTGGAAATTRAAYGYTGAAGCRCGCTCGAAAAGGCTTCATTCGTGATTCTAACGTGTTTATTAAAATCTTTGCGTAGTCAAAGTTCTCGGTAGAACGTATTCACACACCGTGTACTGGGATTTCTGATCTTTTTTGTCCGTCYTTACGTATCCAACTACGTAGACATCCAGCGTTTCCCAAAAAAGMACAAGATCAACGCCAATYAACTTCAGCGAAAAAAATATGGATCGGATACGGGTGTGACCATCGTTACGTATCTAACTACGCAAATATTCAACATTTCAGCAAACAAACCTTGCGCAKCACCAACGGATCTGATACGGTTACAACCGTACATTGGTATCCGTAGCGKTTAGAGACCGTTTTCAATAACTACCCGGATACGTCTAGTGTAAACGGCCGGATACGTACGGACGTTAACCGTGTCGTTAAAAACTTGCGGAAATACACATTTCCGGTATCGTGGGAACAAGACATCAGTCTTTTGATTCCGCTGAGGTACTGCAATTTGAGGTACACTTTGTTACATTTCATGCTGTAGTTTTGTTTGTTTGTTTGTTTTTTTTTTTTGTTTTTTTTTTTTTATCTCCCACAATGCTATTCATAGTATGAAGTTATTCCTCTCATTTTATTGTTGTTGCATTTCATGAATCATGAATCGTTTTTTTTTTTTTTTTTTTTTTTTTTTTTTTTTTTTTTTTTTTTTTTTGTCGCGTCAATGATTTTTTTCAATCTATCTCTTTTGCATTTGATTTCTTATAAATACCAATCAACTGTGCCAATTTATGCGTGCATAAATCTCATTAATTTAAATTTCCATTTAAATAATCGACTCATTTTCGTCTACGACAAAAAAGCAATCTTCTTTTCAATACTCTTTCGTTAGYTMAAAAGCTTGTCTGCGTCCATTTTACCGATTAATGTTATATGGCATCAAGAGCCATCTRCAAATCTACAAATCACGAAGTCTATAATCTTGACTTTTATCTTGACCGACATTTTCTTAGACAAATCTACAGAAATTTAACAAGGATGACATCCAGTATGTTATGTTTTCAATCATCGAAACATCTGCCTTCATTTCAAATGCACAGACACTGAAAACCTTATCTACATCAAGTCTTCAAACTCCCAATTCTCATTACCTTCATTCGTGGCTCCAATTCCTAKAAAAGACTTCTTTGAAATAATGTTTTCTTTTGCCCTTGGGGCGGACGCTTCAATTTACTGTCTAATTACGAAAAACAAGCTCTTATTTTGGAATYAAGCAACGTTGTATCATCTGCCTTACTAAGAGTTGCGTTGCTTTTCAATATCTAAGTGCATTTAACAAAAGAAAGTGAAATTTTGATAAACACTTGACCTTTTAAAGGCGTTCCTTTCTAATTTTCTCCTGTACGCAAAAACACAGGCACGCAATGACAACTTAGGTGTTTTCGTTCAGCATYACCGACAATCACAAACCCCGCGGCAAGTTTACAGAACGCGCTAAATGTTTTCAAGATAGCTTTCTCSCTTTCCTTGCGGCACAAAAACATTGATAAACCACTATCTCTATTACCTTTCTAATGGATATTGGCAAATCTGTGTAGTTGTCTTTTCTCCCTTAAGTTCTTAACTGTATTAGAAAAAGGAATTCTTCAATGTATTCTGTTTAGCGTCAACCATTCTACAACAAATGGAAATTCGCAGACGAGTTTTGAGAGGAGTAGTATATAATGYTACTTTAAAGCCATACAAAAACAACTGCTTTTAACATTCACGTATACGTAGTTTTTAAAACGTCAACTCGTGCGCTGATTGGCTAATTTGTTACAAATGTCAGTTGTGTTTTAGTTGGGAGKCAAATTTGTTTATAACTATCGGAAGGGGATTGTTTGAATAGTGAAGTGTATTTTCTAAAGAAGTTCAGAATATATTCCTAAATAACGAGTTGTAGCAATAAAATGGTTTTCCGTCGGTGAGTAGTTGACCAATMAGAGRATAGAACAATCAGCGTTTAATCCACACTTTGTTGTGTAGTCAGTTTGTCTAAGTGATTGGCTCTTGTTCTACGACGACAAACTTGTATTTGATATTCCAGACTGTTCTTGTTATGGATTTAATAACGTTGTACTTAGTACTTGTCAGTTTTCTTTGGTGGACAGATTTTATTTACGTGTATGCATTTTCTTCTTTCTTCTTGCTTTGAGGTTCTTCTTTGGTAGCAAATKTATTGATTAGGATAGTTAGTAGGCTAGTTTTTTTATTTGCGTATTTGTTGGTTGGTAGGTGGTTAGTTGGTTGGTTGGTTCGTTGGTTCGTTGGTTGGTTGGTTGGTTGATTGATTGATTGATTTTGTGCTTCGTTGGTTGGTTTGTTGGTTAGATTGATGGATGGTTTGTTAGTGGGTTGGTCGGTTGGTATGTTGGTATGTTTTGGGAGTTGTTTGGTTAGGTGGAAGGATGGTTGGTGCTCGTTTGCTTTGTTGCTTCGTCTTCTGGTTGGTTGGTTGTTAAGTTTATTAATGGTTTGATTTATCGTTGAGTTAGCTAACTTAAGTTAGACACTATTACAACAATATTTTACGTTATTACGTTATATCAATCAGAAAGTCAGTATATTTAATTCAGAAATAGTGTATACGATTAAATACCAGYATTTAATATAATAAACCTCTCATGATATTGATATTAGACTGTTGCTACTTTCCAATATTAAACACCTTCATGTCCCCCTGTATCTCTTTGACTATTGTACCACAGCTAGTGGATTTCGTTTCACGGGTTGGATGTGCTCTCTCTGTTGTGCTGCTTATTCCTTTGACGGTAATACAGCGAAAGCAATAATTATATTCACAACCAATATTGACTGAAAATAATAATCTCAGCGTTGGTAGACAACGATAAAAAAGACGATTACCCTGACAGCCTCTCACTGATGTCAGGCTACTTACCCTGAATATTGAACTGATTCCGTACGATTTGARCGCAGTCTTCGCGTTTTACAACACACACGCAATATATCGTGTGTAGAATGATACTTTTTAGCACTGTTAAGTATGATGTTTATTTTTTATTTTCAAATGTTGTTTTATTTATGAATTGTTTTATCGTGTTTTAAGTACGATATCCGCACGGCTTTGGCAGGCACTTGTAACGATATAGGATGCGATATTGAGAAGTCGTTCACATTCTTAGAATGATAAGAGATGCGGAAACGGTACGAAAACGTTAGCAAGTATGGACGATATACCAATTTGAAAACATGAGTATAAAATGTGATTTGGTCGACATTAATCATTGAAATAATTATCTATTCTATAGATTAGTTCTAATAGATTATAATAATTTATGTACTTTTTGTGGAATTTCAAAATCCGTGAAATACATAGAATGATTTAAAATAAAAAATAAAATAGTGTATGATGTAATAATAATTATTAACCTTACAATATTCTTCGTGGTCGACGAAACTCTCTCTAGCACATTGAGTACACTGACCTTGTAACTGACTTGGAAATATCAAAAACGCGGTACCTTTGGCGTCACATACTTGTACATCGTGTCCTTATACCAGTGATCCTAAAAATACACAGCAATGTCACCTTGTTTATATCTTTAAAGAAAATATTGAGGTTGGAGGGCTTTTAATAGTTAAATAATTCAAGAMGATACTTGGTTGATTATTAAAGCACTTGGTACGCTGTTATACTAAAAGCAAACCACAGCAAGACCTATCTATACAGCAAAGCTATGACAAAAAACATTAGAAACATCAAGTGTGTTGGTGTCATGGGTGCTTTTAATGCTTTTAAAGAGTAAAGGAAGGATTGCTGTGCTTTGACATTGAAATAAAACACTTGGCGGTTTTTTTTACACGAGAAAGCAACTTATACAAGYACCATTGAAATACGGGCATCACAGCACGCGTTGTAACGAATTGACGAATCTATGTTATATTAATCATTTATGGTAAATTCGTTTTTAATCCTTTTATTCACATAATTCAGATATTTGTATCAAATCTCTAGTTAAAGTGCGCTTTGAATATTTTATGCCGCGAAGAATGGTACCAAATGTAAATACATTCTGGAACTTTCTCTAAAATGGGATTTTATTTGACATATTAACACGATAGGGGGTGGAAAAACAAGAGACTTAATGGAAACGATGACACATGTCTTTAAAAGCTTTAATGTCTATGGGCGTGGCCGGTAGCTTGTACAAGCGTCTAATTTATCACTACTAATGTGATACAATATTTGGCGTGTCAACACGTTGTTCAACTTAGTTTTTAGCGTGAACGTTAAAATGTCTTCAAATGTCTTCTTTACTTACTAAAGGCAATCCTATATCATCATACTATTACATCATATCATCACAAGGGCGGGTCCACGTTAGATCCAGGGGGGTGTCTAATGGTTATGACTCCCCCATCATACCTGAGATCAAATAAATTATTTTTTGTACAAAAAAATTGTTTTCTAAAAACACCAATTGAAAAATGTACCATTTTTTTTCTGAAACTCCCTTCTGTCAAAATGAATCTCTGGATCCACCTAGTATCATATCAGATAAGAACACAGTACTCACAGAATACATTGAAATGCACTTTTTATTTTTTGTAAAATCACAACTGATGAACAATAGTCAACTTTAGATATTTTGGTTCGATGACTATGTACAAAAGAATGCACACAAGGCTCCGGGAAAACAATGGATAATCTTGATTTATTCTTTTATTTCCGCAGAACCTCGTCTGCGATTCTTTTGTGCATGGTCACTGAAATAAAATAAATCTAAAGTGGGCTATTAAGTAATCTGGTATCAATGCAATTCTAATCTACYCTACTCTATGTACTTTTATTGTCTTGAATCATAACTATATTGTTTTTCTAGTTTCAGAAACTGMTCCTGCTGTTGCTTTGAGATGACACTTGTCTGGGTTTGAGTGAAGTGCAGGACAAAAAGTAAGTTAAATGAAAGAATGACTGGGAATAAAAACCTTCATGTACATTAATTTGGGGGTGGGGGATACTCCCCTATATTTGCTATACGGGTATGTGCCGCTCGATAGGGTCTCTTTTTGGAGCTCCAATTCTGGGATAGGGTATCATTTTTTGTCCATTTGTCTGGGTTAGGGTAGTAGTTTTGTCTGGGATAGGGTAGTTTTTTGTCTAGGATAGGGTATAGGCTCATTGTCTGGGGTAGGGTGGAGTTTTGCCTGTGATCGTATCTGCTAGACCATGCTTTCAGCTCTAAAATAATGTACCTTTGTGCCTTTAGTCTGGGGTAGGGTATGTAAAAATTCACAAAAATTGGTCTGGGATAGGTTCAAGGTTTTGAGGGTTGTGCGGCACACCCCCACCCAAGGGTTGGTGTATGGAGTGCTTTCAGTCACATGCTATCATGTCATAAATAGATTGGTACAAAGATATTGATAAAATTATTACACGTTTCCTGTCATAGAGTGGCTTTCATTTGACCTGTGAAATGAAGTGTAAAAGTCAAAGTGCAGTAAATTGTAAAAACAGWATAGACTACCCAATTGTAGGGTATTTCACAGGTTAATGAAAGCCAWTCTAGAGCCATGTGCAGCTTAAGACTCTATGTGACTTTAGTAAAGGCAATTGCACTCATAAAARGTACATGGCTCTACTAATCAAATGTAATGGAGTATATGAACACATGAGAGCTTATCAATTAATCCCATAACCCGCCTTACCTTCATTACCAATGGTTCTAGCTTACACCTGTCATTTTTAATTCCAGATGAAGACATTGCAACTCTATRAAGGTCAGAACAAACCACAAGGAACGGCTTAGATAGAAATTCTTAGAACAATATTTCATAGACAATATCTTGGATATGGTACAGACATCAGAGTCATTACACTTACCKGTGCAGGGGCTTGTTGTGGGCGGTTTCCGTGACCGAGAGGTCGAGGGTTTTAAGACTATGAAGAAGGACAAAAAAACATTCATGCAAAATTGCACGAATATTGTCTTGGATTTTCACTGAGCAAACTGTTGAAATATCCAAACGTGTGTTTGATAAATTGATTTGGAAGTCTAATATTTCAAAGACTGTTTTCCAAGGAAGATAGCTTCTGTAACCCCTCAAACCCTCCTTATACATTCCCCTGCTGTGAAGTACTTAGCAGACTACAAGTTAGTGGCAGCTTGAGTACATCGCACTGATAATCTGCATCAGTCAGCATTTCATGGGTTAAGTGTATGACTTTAAAAACATGCAAAATTTGTGTTTAAATATTTCCAAAATAGAAAGATCAATACGAAATTCTAGGGCGTGTCTAGGGGTGCATATGCACCCCTCTTGTTTTCAAGATTATTTTTTAGCAGAAATACATGTTTTACAATTGCAACTTAATAAAAAAAAATGAGAATTGAGAGTGGTCCGTTATTACAGACCACATCCTAACACACAACATCTACATGTATCATACAGAAATTGGGCTTCCCATGCATTTCTGTCTGATATATCATAGATCTGCMCCTGAAATCTACATAGTGACATTGAAATAGACATGAAAGTGTATTTWCAAGATTAAGTGATTTTTCTTAATAAATTATTTTTATTACAAAAAGATTTTGAGTATTTTCTTGTGTATTTACCCTGTAAGACTTGACAAAGAAACGGGGAGCAAGGCCTGGGACGAGTGAGGAACGCCTGCCGAAAAAATGTTGTTTCGCGCGATTTCTAAGTAAAGTAATAATGTTCTCGATATTTATGTGTTGTTGGCATTGCTGAGCACCTTCTTATGAATTATGGCAATGAAAGACTATTAATTCTACACGTACAGTTGATCTAAAATGGGAATCGTCCTGTTGATCAAAGTTATTCTCGCTTCAGAATCAAATGTATTGTTTTCAAACACCAGGTAAGTTATTTTCAATTTATCAAATTGTTTAAAACATGGAGCTGAAGACATGAAATACAATTGAATGTTGAAATAAGAGGAGTAACGAATAGAAAGGTCAATACATACGATAGAATYTAGTTTAATATGAATCCAACTTATAATGAATTTTCCAAAGTACAAGAAAAATATCTTTCAACAAAACTCGGTTTTCATAAACATTTTGGGTTTCCTGTGCTATTTAACAACGCAAAATGTGCCAGGCGTTCCACTAAAAAGCACATTTTAGTCTAAAACCGCAATTACAAAAGATATTTCAAATTTTCTTCTGACGTTGAATAGAAGGAATCCAAGAAAATATTTGCATAAAAATCGTTTTTGATAAAAATACAAGCTTTTCTATTTTCGCCATTTTGGCCTTTTTCGGGATCCCTGTGGTGAACTGCAGTGGATTAAGCGCAATTATTTGCATGCCTAATTTCTCTGTTTTGAATTCATCTTTTTGAGAAATTATTTTTATGGTTACCTTTATTAGTCTACAAAGAGCGTCCACACTAAGTTTCAAAACGATAGCAATTTTAAAAGCGGAATGGCAAGCAAAAAAGTCAAAATTTTAACAAAACTGACATGCGCCAACTTTGACCTCTAATAACATCCTAATATTATCCGTTTTCGAAAAACTAAATGCAGATTCATTGCGCGTTTGACCTCAGCTTTCCAACGATGTAAGTTTTGTTAAAAACAAAGCAGTTTGAAAATTTCGAAATNCTACAAAAGCCAAGGGACTAAGGGCATCGCGCGGGATTATGCACTTGATATTATGATATTTAGATATTTCAACAATTCTCATAATTTTTGCAAAAGGCTGTACTCTGATCCACAATATCGTAATACATAATATTACCGTGTGAACAGTGTACTGGCCGCTCAAAAAGGTTATTTGTGTAAGGAAATTACTGACTTTCGTTACGAATCAACGATGCCACGGATGTTTCAAACAAAAGTTCTCCTCTTACGTTAAGAACGTACCGAAAGTCCTACGTAACGGACGTTCTTACGTTAATGAGCGACGTTAATGAGAGYGATTCTTCTTCTACGTTACGTAACAACAAAAGTTCTTCTTTTATCACTGATACGGACGCAAAGGAAAGTTTGCCTCTAGAGAAATTTAAGGAAACCTCTTCTTTTACGCTACGAACGTAACGAAAGTTCTTTAAAGTTTGGGAAGTAAAAAGTCTCCTCTTTCGTTAACTGAAGGTCCGAAACTTTAGCAATGTAAAAATTACGAATTTTAATTTACTGGTTTTCACAAAAAAGCATCACTGTACAAGAAACGAGGAACATTTTTTTCGAGAGGCGTTTCAAAAGTACAGATATGGTAAACTAGCTTTGTAATAAAATTTTCTTTTGTAATGAGAAATAAAATAACTGAATAAAAGTGTTAAATAACCGTTGACAACTAAGTGAAGGTGTTGATAACAAAAGAAGAAACACGCTATAAGTCAGTAAATTCGTGATAAAAAACAGAGCTTTTATTAAATTCMAAAAAATCTAATCGACATTTTAACGCTTCGAAAAGACAAAATATTATGAATAATTCATAAGGCAATGAACTCATTACGCTACGAGTGAGCAATCCCGTGATCCACCTGCTGCCCTTGAACTGCAAGAAGAAATTCTCATATTGTTTTGATTTTTCCCTATATTCTCGATATAAYTTCTCGATATTTTCATGTCTAAAGTGGTCTAACTCCATGGTTTTGTCATGGTGATGTCAGCGAGAATCCACTGGCTTGTTGTGTGGCTGTTTTTTGCCAGTTTAAGGGGAATACTGTTAAAGCCTTTGCCACAAGGAACGGTGACTCAATCGGGTGAGCCGTCACATTTTCAAGTCGACGACAAGGCAGCTGAAATTGAAGTCAACGCGAACCCAGCTGGAGTTAAAGTCAATGCTAAACCAGCTTCTCTTCAAGTGGTGGCCAAACCTGGCACTCCAGCCATTCCGGTGTACCATCCGGCAATTCACGTTGCCCCTCACTATCTCCCACCTCCGGTAATACACAGGGAGCCCGCCATGTTTTATAAATATCAYCACCACTGTCATCCCTGTTGTTCTCCRATGTGCTTTGGAAGAAGTCGTGGRTGGTTTTATGCAGGTTTAAGACGAAATGCTCTTCCAAAACCWAGCAAAAYTACGYACAACCAAGAWCATGTGGGAGTAGCAAGATCCTGGATCCCCGTGCCGTCAGACAGGGACACTTTAGGWAGAGAGCTGGATGATAATGGTCATGTGATWGCTAGAAGTCACAAGTCCTCTATACCAAGACCTGATCAAGGACAAAAACACAAGAAAACACACAAAAGGCAGTATATTTCTGGAATTCCWCAGAACCAAGGAATAAGCAGCTTAGGGACCTCAGGGTACACAGTACAGCCCTTAAGCCCCATGTTAAATACCCGTGCACCTTTAGCAAGGAGCAATCTTCCTTATGGTGAAAACTCCATTAGCTCATATAATGCCCTTTCAAATATTGAYCCCCTTGGGTCATTAAATCATGGCGGACAATCTYCATCACGTAATCTTGGAATGTACAGTAGATATGSCCCAATTCAACCATCATTTAGGTCCATTCCATCAGACCCATCCGATTACGTCCTTGGTACACCATCTGGCTCCATCAAGAATAACTTTCTCAATAACTTCTTGCAATCAGAATTTAACCACGAGCTATATGGGTCCTCTGCTACTCCCAGCCCGTTGAGGGTCGAGCAAGGCTACAGTAGATCAATTCTTCGTGGTCCTTTGGTACAACAACCCACTGAATATGGTTCCCTGCTGTCAGGGAATAGCTTTGGAGCGATGGGATATCAACCTAGCGTCCTTGGTGCCTATGGGAACTCTGCACAGGGTGGGTTAGTCAGTGGATATCATAACTCACCCATAATGCAACTGGCGAGAGCTTATACATCACAACCACTACCTTCCATGATACCAGGTAAGCAGTAGCCCTCCCCTCCCCTCCCTTCCCCTCTCCTCCGCTCTCCTCCCCCTTGAAAGATAAGTCATAAGAGGTGTATCTAGGCGGTCTCTAGCCCATGATTCTAACTTTCTAAGGAAAAAGTGTAAACAGATGTAACAGGGTGTCTGTGGGAGTGTCCGCAAGCGAGAGTTGGCAGAAATATGATACTGGTATTAAACAGTCGAAATAGAATCATGAAATAAACCGAGTTGTGACCTCCCCTCCCCTCCCCCTTGAGCGATAAGTAATAAGAGGCGTATCTATGCGGTCTCAGTAAGCCCATGGTCCTCAGGAAAAAAGTGTAAAAAGTCTGTAGGAGTGTCGGCAAGCGAGCTAGTTTGGCAAAACTATGTAATTAAGTTACTAATAATAGTAATAAATAATAAAGACTTTATTTCACGAGGGTAAACACGTAGTAGTATAGCATACTAATAGTTGTATAAAAAGATAAATTTAACATCGTAAGCAAATAGGTGAAACAACATACTGACGTTTCGAACGTTCGTCCATGGTCTCTACTCCAACGAAGGATTAACATTCGAAACGTCAGTATGTTGATTCAACTATTTTTTTACGGTGTTMAATTTATCTTTTTACACAACTGTTTCTTTAGAAACACCGACGCAGCTCACACTAGTTTACCGCTAGTTTCCATCATTTTGACTACAATACTAATAAACTTGTGGTCCTCCTAAACCAACAAAACTATATGTAATATAAAACTATTTACAAAATAGTCAAAATAGTCAAATTAAATCAAACTTTTTTCCTTAAGGAYTACAACAGTACAGTCAAACAAGATCTCTGATGCCACAACTTTCAGGGCTGCAGCAATATGGTCAAACAAGATCTGTYATGCCTCAACTTCTTCAACAATACAGCCCACAAACATCAGTCACGCCTCAGCTCTTTCAACAATATAGTCAACAAAGATCCGTATTGCCGGAACTATTGCAGCAGTTCAGCCAATCAAGATCTATCATGCCACAAATCATGCAGCAATACGGTCAACCAAGAACTATCATACCACAGCTATCGTATCCCTATATAACGGGTACCAACGCAATGGCAGCGCGATCTCAAGTCCCAGGCTCTAAGTTACCAGCACATCAAAAGGACGCAGTAGAAAAAAACCCTAAATCTGTAACAATAAYTCCTAAGAAGGCGTCCAACGTTAAAAAAGTAAAATCAACAGCAACGCAGGCGAAAGTAGCAGACGGTAAAAATGACAAGAAAACCCGGCAAAAAAGACAGCTTCTTGACAGTGGGYTAGACTTAGATGCCATACAAGACGCCCTTGTCAATGAATTTAAGAGAGAAATGATACTTGGAAGTCCTCAGGCTCAAGAACCACCGCCCATAGCAGCGCTAGCCAGCCCCCAACCGTCTCTAGGGWTACAGTTACCAGGGATACAGCCAGTTATTGGTCAATCTGGTCAAAGTGACAATCTTATGCAACTGGAAGATCTGGGAGCCAATTATGTTGCGCCGGTTCAAAAATATAACATTGGCAACCCCTTGATGAGATCACAGGCCCTGACAACMATGGCGCTTGGAAGGTGGTTATAATTACTAATATAAATAATTAAGTGTAGCATCGTTATTCCGGCCGTCGAACGTCCTTCGAAAAGTGTTCGTATTAACGGGACAGTCGTTTTACCGGGTAGAAAACGCATGAAGATTAAATTCGCCAGGAAAGAGAAATCTGGCTGATTACAATAACTAATATAATCAATATCTCAGAATCTCGTTACTCCGGCCATCGAAGGACTTCGAAATGTGGTCGTAATACCGGGGTGGCCACTTTACCACGTAGAAAAATGTATAAGGGTTTAATTCGCCAGGAAATAGAAATCTGGCCGCTATAATGGGGTGACCGCATTAAGCAGTTGAAAGTATGGTCACCATTTTCTCTTTTTTTTCATTGTCAGCTAGCACAACACAGATTTTTTATCCTTTTAGTGGTCAAATGATAATCAATATATTACTCAATAATAATGACAGAGTAGTAATCAAAGCGAATRAGACAACAGAATTAGAATAATTTAGAGATATTATAACCTCATATTAACAATTTCTATCATACATTATCAGGTCTCAAGTATCTCCTGACCAGATGGTCATGATGCCCCAACAAGTGCAGACCATTTCAAGGTTACCAGTAGAGGCACAAGCATCTATGATAAGTCAACCCCAAGTACAACAGCCCCAAATACAACAGAGATTTTTCCAAAACAAGCCAAATGGATTTGTTCAAAATAGAGGCCAAAATAGAAATGAATATGTTGGATTGCCAATGAAATTTAATCAAGACTACAGAAGTCCTATAGAGTATGATGATCAGCGCCCAAGGCATTTCAGAAGAGGCAGAMACCCACTTTTCCGAAGACGACTGCATCATCGCTACTATGATGATGATGATGGTGATGATGAGGATTATTATGATCATGACGAGCAGCCTTTGTNCCACTAACCCACTAAACCATCTAGTCGAAGTTGCTGGTCAGGCTTCGAAATTTAACTTTATAGCAGGTCGCAATTCATGCAAATTCAAACAATGACTTTTGATGTTGAGCGGTTTGAACCAGCGATTCACTAGATGGCTTGGTGGTCAAGACAGCAGACTACTGGATACGAAGGTAAGGGTTCAAATCTCACTGTAACCAATATTTCTTTCCTTTCACAGGTTAATGTACTGACTTTAATTTCACAGGGTTCTAAAGCTGGCGCGCAATATAAAACTATAAACAAATGATAARCAAATAAACTAAACTCAATAAACAAAAACGATAAACTATGAACTAATCACCATAACAATTAAGCAAAGTCTACTCTTTAAACACTAAAACTTTCAAAATAAAAATCTAGAATTAATCCTGARCACATAAACCTTCTTAAATCAAAGTGAACATCTAAATGTCTTGATCCAGGTTTACCTTAATGTTTTTTTAGACAAGTTTTGTAGAGAATTTTTTTAAATTGATGCATCTCAGTAAATCAGTCTTAGTTTGCGCACCAGCTCTTTCAATTATAAAATTTTATGGGACTATTTTTCCCTACTTAGCAAGTCCATTTTACTGTTATACCAAAACATTCACACCAGAAGYGATGGAAACCTCATTCCAAGACTAAAAAATCCTGTGGGGGGTGGGCAGGGGGACGGTGGGGGTAAAAGTACCGGTGATGCTCATTGGATCTCTTAGGGGGTAAAAATTCGTGATTGGGAATCTTTTGGGTGACAATTTGGATTTTCTGCAATCTCTTAGAAAGCAGAAAAGAAAAGACACAGCGCATTGAAATTGATTTGCCTGTGTTTTCATCATTGGTCTTTTTTTAAATTTCTGACAAGCATTCCTGGTACTTTTATCCCTTTTATTCCTGGTACTTTTATCCCTTTTATTCCTGGTACTTTTATCCCTTTTATTCCTGGTACTTTTATCCCTTTTATTCCTGGTACTTTTATCCCGGAGCCGCTACCCCCCATCTTATCTTATCTTTTCCCTTAGTTCTCTTAGAATTTATTGTTTTAGAATGTGAAGACATTGATGCAATCTGTGAACACATTAATATCCAGATTGCAAATACCATTCCTATGAAGCTGTTGAGCAGTGATGGGTTTTCTTTTGACAAGGAGAATTGATACAGGTCAAATCTGTTGCGAGTCCAGCCTATGGTTTCTTCTTACAAGAACGATGACAGATTTAAGATGTCTGTTATCTTACCTTTTGATGTTAGATGGTTGGGGAACCATGGTTGGCAATATACC